TTTTTTTTTTTTTTTTTTTCCTCCAGAAATCAGAGGCAAAGTCATCTGCTGAGATCCAGGGGTTCAGAGATTGGAGGAGAGAGGGTGTAGGAGCTGACTAGAGAGAAAGCAGGATTGCCAGCACTTGACAACTTAGGTACACTCATACAGAAGATGGATGGTTGGATTCATCCAGGGTTTGAATTTTTACCAGGCCTGTAGAACAAGCAGACAAAAAGAAAGGAAGTTCAGAATATCAACAAGAGACTGATTAAAATGAAGGAACCTAAGCTAGACAGGATGTGGCTGATGTGGGGAAAAACGAGAGATCAGTGGATATGCCTTGATAAGGTTGAAGACTCAATATAGTGGTAGTAGTTGAGCAGTCTACCTGTAATGATGGGAGAGAGTGATCAGCTAGTGGGATGTCTTAGTGATTTTGGAGGTTAAGAGGTTTTGAGTGATAAGGTCCAGGGTGTGACAGCGGAGTGGGTGGCGTTAATTCAACTGAACGTTATGAGCTTCAGAGGAACAAGGTTTTTCAAGAGGGGGAGGACTATTGGTCCAGAAGTAGCACTGGAAGGGAATTGAGAAGACACTGATCCTACTTTTTACCTTGAAGTAAGTGGTATGTGAGAGAATGAGCAACCTCCACTTGAGAGCCTGGGAAACTAGAAACTTCATTTCCTGGAATTTTTTGCATCCAAGATTTTGAATATGACTTAGGATTTGCCAGTCAGATGTACTTTTGGAGAACTCAGATTTGGATTAGGGAGAGGCCAGCTGAGAGTTACTCATTTTGCTGATGAAGATTGTGGCAAGGGTATGGTTCTGATCTGGTAAAGCGGCTTCCCGTTTAGTCAGGTGGCTTTCTGATTAAGGCAGCGCCGACTTGTTTATGGAGCCATCAACTGTAGTGGGGCTTGTTTTAGCAGGAGGCTTTCCACCATGGTGGAGGAGAGGCCTTATGGCTCTTGAACTAGCGGCTCTAGCAGTAACTTCCCAGTTGGACAAGCAGTTGTTCCTAAACTGTTTTTTCCTTTAACTCACCCAGTGATCTTGTATGCAAACTTAAGTATGTATCTCAGTCACCTGAGGGTCTTGTTAAAACACAAATTGCTGGCCCAATTCTGAGAGTTTCTGATTCAGTAGGTCTAATATAGTATTGGAAATTTGCATTTTAACAAATTCCCAGATGATGCTACTACTACAGGTTTTGGGACAATACTTTGACATCCACTGATGTGAACCATTTACTACCCTGTAATAAATCCCTTTCTGCTTGAACTGAGTACAGAATGTTCACTTCTGTATAACTGAACCTTGACCAATATAATCAAAACCAAACCCATTGCTGTCAAGTGGATTCCGATTCATAGCGACCCTATAGGACAGAGTAGAACTACCCCATAGGGTTTCCAGGTAGCGGCTGGTGGATTCAAACTGCCAGCTTTTTGGCTAGCAGCCGAGCTCTTAACCACTGTACCACCAGGGCTCTTTATAGTTATTTTATTCATGTCTTCTCTGTCCTTGCCTACTTGGTCTGTCAGTGACTGGAAGAAGTAGTTCTTGTATTTCTTGAAGATTTTGCTGTATATATTTTGATACTGTTCCTTGATGTCTAAAAGTTCATTATGCTTATCTTTTTTATGTGATTTGAAGTTTATTCATTATAAAGTCTCCCTTTTTGTCCCATTTAATACTTTTTCCCCTGATCAACTTTGCTGTTACCATCAAAATTACTTTCTTTTTGCTTACATTTACCCTGTATATTTTAATTCATCTTTTTACTTTCAGCTCTTCGAGTGCCTTTGTTTTAGACATCTTCTAAAAAGCGTGGTTGTTTCGCTTTTGACTTAATCTGACTCTTTATTCTTTCTTTTAATGGATGAGTTTATCTGGTAAATATTTATTGTTACAGTATATATGTTTTATCTTGCTTCTGTCATCTTTGTTTTTGTTTTATGTGTGTGTGTGTGTGTGTGTGTGTGTGTGTGTGTGTTTCCTTTATTTTCAGTCTTTTACTGTGTGGTCTAATCCTTCTGATTTCTGTGGCCTACTGGTTATTTAGAACCCTGGTGGCGCAGTGGTTAAGAGCTACAGCTGCTAACCAAAAGGTCAGCAGTTTGAATCTACCAGCTGCTCCTTGGAAACCCTATGGGACAGTTCTACTCTGTTCTATAGGGTTGCTATGAGTCGGAATTGACTCTTCAGCGATGGATTTTAATGATTTATTTTTAATGGATTTTAATGGTTATTTTGGAAGAATACAGTATGTTCTGTTTTTAGTTCTACTAAACATTTAAATAGTATTAAAAAACCCAATGTGTTGCAGTTAATCAACCTCAGAAGCAAAATTAGGATACTTCTTTTGTCTTAGTCTAGATTAGTCAAAGATTATCCATCTCTGACTCTTCTCAGATTATTGGTATTTTTATGTGATGGGGCCTTTAAAATTTTTAAGTTAGAGTCTGTACACTATAATTACTGTGGTTATTTAACTCAATTTGATGTTTTAGTGGATTAAATGCTAGTCTTTCCATATCACAACTTCCCCATTAGAAAATTCTTTAATTTGACGTATCTTTCAATTGGCTATGTAGGGTCTTCAAATGGATTTTTTTTTTTTTTTAATTTTAAGTAAGGGTGCATAAGTGTTATAATTCCTGGAATCTTGCATATTTAGAATGTCATCCTTTTGCCTTTACGTGAATGGCATCCTAGTTAAGTAAAGAATTCATAGGTCACATTCTTTCTCTCAACCCTTTGTCTTCTGCCACCAAGTGTTTCTGAGAGCTCTGAAGCTGACCTGACTTTTTTTTTTTCCTTTCTAAAGCTGAGATGCTCACTGTTTTCTTTTGAAATTTAGTATCTTCACTCAGATATTTCTTGGTCTTAAGGATTCCTTATTGATTTTCCCCTTTTACACAGTAGCCTTTTGATTTATAGGCTGAGGTCTTTATTTCAGAAAAAGGATTTTTTATTCTTTTTCTATCTTGTTTTTTTATTTCAGGAAATTTTCTTCTGTTAATTTTTTTTCCTGTTCCCATTTTTTTTGCTCTCTTCTTTAGAAACATCAGTTATTCATATGTTAGCTCCATCTTTATCATCTTCTTGCTAATCCTTTTTATCTCTGAAATCTGTGTGATTTTTCTCAAGCCTGTCCTTGTCACTGATTCTCTTTTCAGCAGTATAGTTTCTACTTGTTGCTTCTCCTGTGGTTTTCATTTCTATGATTTTATTCTTTCACACAGTTTCTTTTCTTACCTTGCCATTGTTTTATCTCTTCTTCAGCCTCTTGCATCTCCTTTACTCTCTTGTTTCTTGGAGTCCACGGTGTCAGTGGCTTTTTTGAAAGTATAAAAGTTTTTGTTGGAAGTTTTGTTTTTGGAGCAATTCATCAAAAAGGTACTCCCCTCCCCCTTTTATTTTTTGTACAGTATCTGTGCATAGGTCCCATGTTGGGTCCTTTTTGTTTATTACTAATTTTGAATGGGTCATTCTATCAGGAAAGAAGCCTTGATGACACAGTGGTTAAGTGCTTGGCTACTAACCAAAAGGTCTGTGATTCAGACTCACCAGCCACTCTGGGCAGAAAGATGGGGCATTCTGTTTCCGTAAAGATTAGTCTTGGAAACCCCATGGGGGCAGTTCTACTCTGTCTTATAGGGTCGTTATGAGTTGGCATCGACTCAACAGCAACAGATAGTTCTACCAGGACTTGCTATTTACCAAAGAACAATGTGGGTGGATTCTCATTGAACTCTGTTTACCTTGGCACTGTTATATTGTATCCTTAGCGCCTGATGTTATATTGTATCCTTAGCACATGAGTTACAAGGTTGGATATTGTTATAGTTTATAATCTGCTTGGACTGTAGCTTCTTCAAGGGAGACAGTTGGGAACTTTAATTTGTATGGTATTTTGTATTAGCACACTTTTCCACTGAGATTGATGAACTGTATCATTAAGGAATGTATAGACCTATGTAAGGGTTCTCTTCTGGGGAGTTTTTTTTCCTCCTTTGTCATAGGCAAACAGGTTATTCTGGCCAAAAACTGTGGAGTTGTATGTTGCTCAGGTTTTTGGTTTGGTGGTCAGTGTTTTTGTTTATCTCTGTCAGGTTACCTTGGTCCATGGTTGCATAGCTGAGTTTTTCTGGGTTTGAAGAAGATGAAGATTCATGACAATTTAGTCCATTATTCAGTGTGGATATGGCCCCTTACTGTAATAGAGTGTTCCTTAATTGTCTCATGGCCTGCCTACCTCCCCCATCCAGGTGAAAGATGGATGACAGGACACCAGGGAACTCTTTTACTTATTCTCAAATCTGTTCCCTGGCTAATATTCACAGACATGGCTGTTAGCTCTAGGCGTTCTCCTTCAGTTTGGTCTAAATTTTATACAGTAAAACCTACAAAAGCCAGAACCTGTGTAAGGTGGAAACCTGTCAGAGAAGGAGAACTCAGATATTTTCCACTAAAACAAGGAATAGAAAAGTGATAAGACTGCACCCTGTCAAAGGCAGAAAACTTGTAACACCCAGAAAAACAAGGCAGTGCTGTCAGGTTCTGGCTGTCACAGGTGTCACTGTAGTGTCTTGCAGATATTCTTTGTAGTCTATGTTAGCAAGTTGTGGCCCTTCCCTAGATTCATAAAAGACAATTTTTTTCTTTCCTGCAATTTTTTTGTGGGAGGCGGAGGAAGTTTGATTGATTTCACTGGGTTTCAGGGAGAGGAGTTGAATAATTGTACATTTACTGCAGTATTTTTACAAGAAACTTTATGAGCTTTAAATAATGTAAATAAAGCACTTAGCATAGTGTTTGGCACATAGTAAGAATTTAGTAAATGGTAGGTAGCTTTTATTATTGTTTATTGTCTGCTCCACCAGAATGTAAGTTCTATGAGGGCAGGAAACTTGCCTGCCTTGCTTAGTGCTGTATTATCAATGCTTGGACAGTGCCTAACATATAGAAAGTGCTTAGTAAATTGTTGTCAAATGAATGAATAGATGATCAGGAAGCTTGGGTGTCTGGTTGTGGGTGGGGGTAAGGGGAGGAAAGACAGGAAAGTAGAAGAATCTGAGCCAGTGGTATAAGTAAGCAGGGTGATTAGGTTCTGCCTTCCACTCATTTGTATGTCTCTGTATGCAGGGGCAGCCATTTTGGGGAGCGCTGATGGATACCTACGGGGTCGGCTGCATTGCCCTGGGGGAGGCCGGCCCCGTGGGGAGCATGACTGTGGTAGACTCTCCCGGACAAGAAGTGCTAAACCAGCTTGATGTCAAGGCCTCTCCAGAAATGACAAATGCGGAGGCCTCCATAGAGATGTCTTTACCTACCCCTTTGCCTGAATTTGAGGATTCTCCTGATAAGAAGAGGTTCCCTCTAGAGCAGGAAAGCCTCTCCAGACTGGAACAGCAAGGTATGTACCTTGTCCTTTTACTGTATCTCTACACTCCTAGCTTAAGATGAAAGAGAACAGGTTGAACTCACAGGATTCAAACCTGTGTATGGTGTAATCTGCTACAAAGAGGTTTCAGCAGGGGTTGGCCTGAGCTCTGGTCCCATCTCACAGACCCATATTCTTCTCTACAGATCTTTCTTCAGAGATGTCAAAGGTCTCAAAGCCTAGGGCCTCAAAGCCTGGCCGGAAGAGAGGTGGTAGGACACGAAAAGGCCCAAAAAGGCCCCAACAGCCTAATCCTCCATCAGCCCCTCTGGTTCCTGGTCTCTTAGATCAATCCAACCCTCTATCCACCCCCATGCCTAAGAAACGAGGTCGAAAGTCCAAGGCAGAGCTGCTACTGCTGAAGTTGTCAAAAGGCCTAGATCAGCCAGAGTCTCCACCTCCAAAGAGGCCCCCTGAGGACTTTGAGGCCCCTTCTGGGGAACGACCCCGCCGAAGGGCTGCCCAAGTGTAAGGATTGTGGGACACAGCTTGGTGGAGGGGGGTTGGGGTGAAGGGATCAGGGTGGGGCAGATGTTGGAGAAGTGAGAAGACTATGATGAGGTAGCAGGTAAGCTGGGGTGATATCTGGGTTCTGGGAACTTGAACAGTCTTTTAGCTCTTAGCACAGAGACTTTTATCTATTGCTAACTTTGTCTGTCTAGGAGGCTTCCTTTCTGTACCTCGTACCCAATCACATTTTCAGAAACTCCCCCAGCACTGCACTGTTATTTTACTGCCCCAGTATGTATCAGTATATATATGCCCTTCCATTCTTTCCCTTTGCCCTCTGTGATCCTTAACTGTGGTAGAGTGAAGAGTGCATTGGACTTTTGGAAGACCCAGGTTCAGAGTTCACATTTGTTATCTGAATCATCTTGGCCAAGTCATTTAACTTTCCTGAATTCCTGTTTCTTCATCTACCAGAGGGAAAGGGGAAATTAATACCTGCTTCACAGGGTTGGAAACCCCGGTGGCATAGTGGTTAAGAGTTCAGCCACTAATCAAAAGGTTGGCAGTTCGAATCCACGAGGCACTGCTTAGAAACCCTATGGGGCAGTTCTACTCTGTCTCATAGGGTCGCTATGAGTCGGAATCGACTTGATGGCAATGGGTTTGGTTTTTTTGGTTTTTCACAGGGATACTGGGAGGATCCAGTGAGATAAGAATCAACCAAGTGTCTGGAAAAGTGGGCTCTCAGTTAAGTGTTTGTGAGTATGGCTCTGATTCTGCCCTATCCCACAGGGCACTTCTGTATCTTCAGGAACTGGCTGAAGAGCTCTCAACAGCACTGCCTGCTCCAGTGTCCTGTCCTGAGAGCTCCAAGTTGAGCAGCCCCACCAAACTGAAGAAAAGCCAGGCAGATGCAGACCCTCAAGGTGGGGGAGGAGAGGATGATACTGCACAAGACGAAGACTTTGTTCTTCAGGTTGAGGCTGAAGATGAGGAAGAAAGTGAGATCCCGAGTGAGAGCTCATCTGACCCCGAGCCTGCAGTGCTCGCAGTGCCCCAAGTGCCCACAGTGTCTGCAGTGCCCCAAGTGCCCGCAGTGCCTGAAGTGTCCACAGTGCCCGCAGTGCCCGCAGTGCCCCGAAGCGCCCCCCGAGGATCCACTTCAGGGGTAACCTGAAAGGACAAGAAAGTGGATGGGAAATAGTAGGATTAGTAGGAGGTCAACAGGGCGCCCCAAGGGATAGCTTTGGCCTATTAAGGTGGCCAAATAGGTAAAAGAAGATATGGACAACTTCAAAAACGGTTGAGATATTAGGGAAATGGGGGAGGGAGGCTAGTGAACAAGGTTATTGATTCATATATTGAGCATCTAGTCTGCCCTATTAAACACAAACGTGAATAAGACAGAGTCCTGCCTCACAGAGTTCAGTGTGATAAGTGATGTACCAGGAGTGAACAAAATACTTCAGGCATATAGAGGAAAGGCGATTAACTGATTAGGCGGCACAGAGGATTGATAGTTGAGCAGGGTCTTAAAGGGATAAAGAGAAATTTCCCCAAGAGGATGATTTTCCCAGAAACTGATTATGGCTGGAGCATAGGGCCTGGGGTAAAGAGGTGAGGGAGAATACATTAGAGAGGATGAAAGAACTAAGATTGGTAAGAGCATTGTATGCCATGCTGAGTGAATGCCTGTCATCTAGGCTACAAGGAGCCAACAAAGGTTTTTAAGTAGGAGGATAACATGGTCAGTTAGGAAAATAGGTCAACCTGCAGCTGAAAATTAGAAGACAGCTGCAGTTATCCAGATGAGAAATAGTAAAGGCTTGAACCAAATAGTGAAGGAAGAGAAGGTGAGGGGCAGATTCAAGAGATATATAAGAGAAGTAACAGGACTTGGGAGTTGAAGGAAGGAAGAAGTTGAGTGGGAGCTTCTAGTTTAGATCGTGCTACTGTGCACTAGCATCTGGAATACAGGAATAGTGGGAGACTTGAGAGGGGAGTGAGGTGGGCAGGGGGGATTGATAAGTTTACTTTTTGACATGTTGAATTGAATGAGCCATGGGTCATCCCACTGGGGATATCCAGTACCCAGTTGTATCTGTGGAACCAGTGCTTTCCTTGCCTAGAGTGCAGAATTTAAGGGAGCACAAAACACTCAGTAATCCAGATAAATGATATTTCAATGTAATATTTAAAAAAAATTAAAAAGCAATAAATCCATGATGAACACATACCAAAATTTTAAATAAAGACAGGAACTATATTTCTGATTTTCCCTTTTCCTCAGTTGCTGATGTGGCTTAGCACAACACTTTGGGTCTAGAACTTGTAGAAAAGTTGAGACTGAAAAGATTAACTGAGTTTAAATTTGATAATCAGGGTTAAAGATGGTAGTCAAAGCTATGGAAATGGATACAGTCGTCAAGCGTGAGTGTATAAAGGTGTGAAAAGAAGACAGGAGGGACTCTGGGGAATACCAGCATTGAACAAACCAAGCAGAGGAGGGAGAGCCTTCAGAGGAAACTGAGAAGGACTGTTAGAGAAGTGGAGAGACTGTCCCATGGGGCAGGACTTTCAAGAAGCAAATGAGTGTCATCTGAATCAAATGCCTTGGAGGTATCGAGGAAGATGAACAAAAATAGATAACAGATTTTGCAATTTTGATGGAGGAGTAGGAGCAGAAGGTGCTGAAGTCATTGTAATGGTTGAAACACAAATCTTTCAAGATGCTGATAGGTCAGTGGGTAGAGAGGAAGTAATGCAAGGAAAGTAAAGCAGATGAAAGATGTCTCCTGGGGACTTCCACACCAGCCTGTAAAATTTTCTTTACCTTTTCTTCAATTTCATCCTACAGAAGCAGAAGCCACACTGCCGAGGAGTGGCTCCCAATGGCTTACCAAATCACATCATGGCTCCTGTTTGGAAGTGCTTCCATCTCACCAAGGACCTGTGAGACTTGGGGAATGGGAGCTAGGGATGAAGGGGTGCAAAGGGTGATCTAGAAGTGGGGCAGTGGGGAAAAAGAGGGCGCTCACAAGGCAGAAATTCCTCGGTTGCACTAGCCACATTTCAAGTGTGCAATGGCTACTTCCAGCTAGTGGCTACCGTATTGGACAGCCCAGACATAAATAATTTCCATCATCACAGAAAGTTTTATTGGACAGCACTGCTCTAGAATTTCTCTCCTCCTTCATTAATGTTGCTTCTGTGCCTCTAGTCGAGAACAGAAGCATTCATACTGGGAGTTTGCAGAATGGATTCCTTTGGCCTGGAAGTGGCACCTGTTATCTGAAATGTAAGTTGAAGGGACACCTCTGAAGCCTTGGAGGGAATGGCACCACTGGAGATGGAAGAGTGACAGAGGGCTCTGGATGTATTTTGGGAATCCTCGAATTGGTGGAACTCTTCCAACTTTAGGCTGTTTCCTTTGCCTTCTCCCAGTGAGGCAGCGCCTTACCTGCCCCAGGAGGAGAAGTCTCCACTTTTTTCTGTACAACGTGAAGGGCTTCCTGAAGATGGCACACTCTACCGAATAAATAGGTAAAGATTGTAGCTCAGCCTTTTTTTGATTCTAGGAAACAAACAGGAAAAACAAATGTTGAAAGGGATGGCATGTTAGCCCTGCCCTTCCCCTGCTGCTGGTCCAGTTGGTCTCAGGGGTAAGAGTCCTGGCTAGAGCTGGTCTGATCGCTACTTCCGGCTCATCACTGCCGGCTAGACTAAGGGAAGCTAAGGAGGTGTTGGAGGAAACCAGTTTACAAGGCCACATCCATTCAAATAGACCTGGACAGACTGGCACTAGATAGAATACTGTAGTAAACCAGAATGAACAGCTCATCATCTTTCAAGATGAGCTGGAGCTGGACAGACTTTGGGGAGGAAAGGAGGAAGATAAGAGTGCTGGCTAAGGAGTCTTCTCACCTGCAGACTGTTCTTGATATTCTGACCCTTAAGCCAGTTCACACTAGCACCAGGTGGAGCTTTCATTCTGCCCTCATTTCTTTTTATTAATTCTTTTCTTCATCCCATCTCTGCATTCCTCTAGGTTTAGCTCAATCACAGCACACCCAGAGCGCTGGGATGTGTCCTTCTTCACAGGAGGACCACTCTGGGCTTTGGAGTGGTGCCCAGTGCCAGAGGGGGCAACAGCCTCGCAGTATGTGGCTCTGTTCTCCAGCCCTGACATGAATGAGACACACTCACTGAGCCAGCTTCATTCGGGCCCTGGGCTGCTGCAGCTTTGGGGCCTTGGGACCTTGCAGCAGGAAAGCTGGTGAGGTGGGGCTGGGACACTGTCATGGGAGGGTGGTTGAGGAGGAGAGAAGGATGGGGGCTGGACAGTGTAGGCGGAAGGGCTTGGATTGGGTTGAGACAAGTGGGACACAGGCTCTTGCAGCCCTGGGATCCTCCTTCCTACCTGTTCCCGCTCATGCTGTCTCTCCCCAGTCCTGACAACAGGGCCCACTTTGTCTATGGGATTGCTTGTGATAACGGCTGCATCTGGGACCTCAAGTTCTGCCCCAGTGGAGCATGGGAGCTTCCAGGCACCCCTCGGAAGGTACTTCCTGTTTGCTTTGGGGATGGCCCTAAGACTCAGAGCCAGGACAAAGGCCCTGGGAGTTCTCACAGTCGGAGGAAGGAGATTGGAGACCGGTGGGTGGAGTTTTTCCAGCAACTTGCTATCATATTTCCAGGGAGCAGGAACCTCGAAGGTTTTCTGAGAGGTGCCTGAGGGCAGCAAGCTCAGCACAGGTCTGGTCTCACCCTCTAGGACCCTCTCCTGCCCCGGTTGGGTCTCTTGGCTCTTGCCTGCTCAGATGGGAAGGTGCTGCTGTTCAGTCTGCCCCATCCTGAGGCCCTGCTGGCTCAGCAGCCGCCAGGTGAGTAGCACAGTAAGGAGAATGGGGCTGCTGTAGGGGTAGCCAGAGCTTAGCAGGGCCTGTCCGTCTCCCCTGAAACTCCAGGCTCAGTCTCTCTGGTACAGAGCTTTGCTCAGCCACCTCTCCCATTCTGACTTCACACTTTGTTCTCGAACTCTCTCAGTTAACAGCCTGCAGGCGGTCTTCTCTCTTGCAGTCTTATAACTGCACTTTCTCAGCATGTTATCTTCTTATCTCCCTCTCCTCCCTATTCTTTCTCTGTGCTCTCAGGCCCGTCTCCCTCTTACTGCCACAGGTGATTGGCTGGGGCTGACAAAAGGGGCTCATCACCCCTGCCGTACTCTTCTTGTTTCCTCTAATCCTGTTCCCAGCTCTCCTGCCCTCACCACCACACATACACAGTCTCTTCGTTGCAAATAAAGGGAAAGAATATTGAGCTGAAGATGAGCAAGAAGAGGAAGGGCAAGAAAGGACAGCTCCTGTTTGTTGAATTTATTTATCTTTCAACAGTACTGCATATTTAAAGCAGAGAACACCTAGATTTGGGCCCTGGGAAGTTCCATATTTGGTGATCTGGTAAAGGAGGAGGGAATAGGACGTGAGGAAGTGAAGACAGTAAGTGTAGATAATACTTTCAAGAAGTTTGGGTGTGAAAAGGAACAAGTAAATGAGTGTGCTGGCTGGAAGTGAATATGGAGTAAAGGAAGGGTTTTTTTGTGTACATGTGAATATGAGAATGATCTAGTAGAGAGATAAGGATGGATAATGCAGGAGAAATAACTGAATGAGCAAAATTCTGGAAAAGGTTGAAGAGGAAAAGAAGAGAGCAGAGCGGAGGGATTAGCCATTCTAATAGGAGGAAGAATACTATCGGGTGTAATGGAAGGAAAGAGGATGGGACCAGATAGAGGTAGATTTGTAAATTTAAAGGTAAAGAGGAAAGCGCTTTCTCAACAATTAAGAGAAGGTCATCATCTAAAGGGTGAGGGGAGGGAAGGCTGGTCTAAGAGAAAGGCCTGATAGAATGCCTGGTTAGGATCCTCTGATCCACAGCATCAGTGACTGCTCTTCTTCCCTCACAGATGCGATGAAGCCGGCCATTTATAAGGTGAGTGCGGAACCTGCTACCTTAGCTGAGCGCCATCTTCCAGAGCCTCTCCCTGCTGGTTCTACATTGAATCTCCTGCTACCTCTGAAACTTTCCCCCATATTGCTGGATTAAATAGTAGGTATCCCTAACCCTAGTCCTCTCTCCTCTGTCCCTGCAGGTAGAATGTGTGGCAACCCTTCAGGTGGGGTCTGTGCAAGCCTCAGACCCTTCTGAGTGTGGCCAGTGCCTTAGCCTGGCCTGGATGCCCACCCGGCCCCACCACCACCTGGCTGCTGGATACTATAATGGTAAAAACCAAAACAACCTAAGAAGCTGCTGCTGTCTAAACTTTATATAGGCTTGATTTCTGGAGGTTGTTTCTTTTTTGGTTCAGTACTGGATATTTTATAGTTACAAGTATTCAAACAATATAAAAAATACAAAGAGGAAAGAAAAAAGTCATTAGAATTTTTGTACTCAAAAAATAATTAAATGTAGATGAACATCATTTCATGCAGTTTCTTATGCATATATAAAGAGATTAGATGGAGAGAGATACAAAAATGAGATATTATGTAAGCTATTTTAAATTAAAAGATATCAAATTTAATTATACTTTAATTGCATAGAAGACACTGGAGTGAAACTGAAAGAATAGCTAAGCTCCTAATAAATGTTCTTTCACCACAGGAGATACTAGTTCTGTAAGATATTTTTTAAATTAAAAAAAAAAAGATTATAAATAACATTAAGTAGTTGGAGTTAGTAGGTTGTTGTTTTTAGATGGCAATTTCCTTTTTAGTCATGGTCCGTAGACTCCCTGCTAGGAAGACAAGGAAATCACCACTGTGGCACTTCTTCCTATCATCTCTCTCTCCATCTTTTCATTGTTTTTCTTTTGGTGATACTATTCCTACGTTGTCAAGGTACGTGATACTTGATGCTGTTCTGCTATCTTAATTCCCAGAGTGACTTGGTCTTAATTCTATATTTAAGTGATTGAGGGTCTCCACCAGTGCTTTTATCTCAGCCTCTTTCTCCACTGCTGAATTATTTATATTGCTTAGCTGTAATTCAGGGACTCCCTGGGTGGCGTAAAGGGTTAAGTGCTTGACTACTAACTGAAAGGTTGGCGATTCAAACCCACTCAGAGGCACCTCAGAAAATAGGCCTGGCAGTATGCTTCTGAAAGGTCACAGCCTTAAAAACCTTATGGAGCAGTTCTACTCTGCACGCATGGGATCACCAAGAGTCGAAATCAACTTGAGGGCAACTAACAACAAAACAAAGCTGCAGTTCACTCTGAATAAGTTTTTTAAAGAAAGCCTTGTAGGTGCTACATTCCCTGAGTTTATGTTAAAAGGAGTTTTTAGCCCTTTCCTATCATATGTACTACAAAAATTTTTTCCAGCTATTGTTTTTAAATTTTTATTCTTTATTTTTTATTTTTATCCAAATTATACCTTTGATTACCTTCCCCCCGCCAGTCTTGTGTTTAGCGTTTGGATCAGCCAAGTTAGTTTCTATTTGTTTTCTCGCCTTCTACGTTTTGTTGCTTTTTGCCCTTACCTTTTCTTTTTGTCTTAGAGCAGGAGTTGGCAAACTTTTTTTTGTAAAAAGCCAGATAGTAAATATTTTAGGCTTTGTGAGCTGTCTTGCCATTGTTGGGACTGCTCAACACTGCCATTGTAAGGGTAAAGCAGCCATAGACATTAGGTAAACAAATGGGTATGTCTGTGTTCCAGTAAAACTTTATTTACCGAAAGAGGCAGTAAGCTGTATTTGGCCTATGGGCTGTAGTTTGCCAACCCTTGTCCTAGAGGGCCTATGCCTTTTTAAAATCCCTTTACTTCTGTTTAGTAGGGTGCATTCAACCTATCATCTTTAACTGCAGGTTCCAGACTCAGCTATTACTTTTTTATTGATAAGGATTGAGGCTAAAATATCAGATTGACTAGTTACGTCATAGAAGGAGTATTGGGTAGCTAATCATGATCCCCATATCCTTTCATAAGGGTTTAGCTCTTAGGGTAGAAGACAAAGGTTTCAGGAACCCAGAGAGAGAAATTAGAGCAAGGAAGAGAGAACCTACTTTTAATGCCTGCGCATTCTGTCTCTACCTCAGGCATGGTGGTTTTCTGGAACCTTCCCACTAACTCGCCCCTGCAGCAGATACGGCTCTCTGATGGCTCCCTGAAGCTCTACCCCTTCCAGTGTTTCCCAGCCCATGACCAGGCTGTGCGTAACCTGCAGTGGTGCAAAGCTAACAGGTAGAGAATAGGAGAGTTGTGGAGGCGGAAGGTGAAGACTAGGGCAGGCTGACTTTTCCAGATTTGTAAATATTTGATCTCCCATCTTTTTGTAGTCATTTTCTAGTCTCTGCTGGGAGTGACCGGAAAATCAAATTCTGGGACCTTCGACGACCTTATGAACCAATAAACTCTATCAAGCGCTTCCTGAGTACAGAGCTGGCCTGGCTGCTCCCCTACAATGGTGTCACTGTGGCTCAGGACAACTGCTATGCCTCGTACGGCTGGATGGAGACAGGAGGAGCTCTGGGGACAGGCCCTAGGGGTTGGGGTGCAAAGGGAGTCAGATTGTTGTGGGGAGAGGAGGGTTGAGTGTTATTTCACTGAAATGATTAGGATTCTGGAAGGATTGAGGAGAAATGATGAATCTAATTTTAGAAAAGGAAGATTTTATTTCTCTTTCTCTTACAGTTATGGACTCTGTGGAATTCATTATATTGATGCTGGTTACCTTGGTTTCAAAGCCTACTTCACTGCTCCTCGAAAAGGCACTGTCTGGGTGAGCCCTCTCTCTTCCACAGTCTTCATTACACAGGAAGCTATTCATTTAATCACCTAGTAGTGGTCAAGAAGAGGCAGTAGTTTTTGGTAGAAGGAGGAAAAATAGGTGTGTGGTAACTGTATCGTCAGTGACATGGGCTGTGAGACACTCATTTTGTTTGTGTGTATGTGTCTCTCTCCCTCCTAGACTGTTACAGTTCCCAGAACTGAATGAGTATGAATGAATGAAATCTGTCTCTTCCTATCAGAGTCTTTCAGGATCAGACTGGCTTGGGACAATAGCTGCAGGAGATATATCCGGGGAGCTCATTGCAGCTATATTGCCTGATATGGCCCTGAACCCAATAAATGTCAAGCGGCCTGTAGAGCGAAGATTCGTACGTATATGACTATCTGGTGGCAGCACCATTTCTTGGATCCTAATCCATATGCCTTCCCAACTCCTGGTAGTACCCAGCCCTGATGTTATCCCTGAAAGTCTTAGAACAGAGTTGTAGAGAATATTCCCAGCCCTAGTGCATCTGAGCATAATACTACTGCCTTTCATCTTTAAGTCTCTCCTGCCCAAAACCAGTTTCCTCATCCCTTACCCTTATTCTGTCTTCAATATTATAGAACCTAATCTCCTGGTCTCCTTTCTAGCCTATATATAAAGCAGATCTGATTCCGTATCAGGACGACCCTGAAGATCAAGACCACTATTCTGCTTCATCTGGGGCCCCCAACCCTCCCAAGGCTCGAACTTATGCGGAAACTGTCAGCCATCACTATTTGCTCTTTCAAGACACAGATTTGGTAAGTTGGGGCCAGGAGAATGGGTCCACACCCATCGTTAGAAACGTCAGAAACCTTTAGTCTTTGTATAGTTGGGAACTGTAAGGAGTTCTGCCACGAAGATGCAAGACTGAGAAGCTACTCACTTTCTTCTTCCTCCTCCAGGGCTCGTTTCACGATCTTCTCCGTAGGGAACCAATGCTGCGCATGCAAGAGAGAGAGGGGCATTCTCAGCTCTGCCTGGACAGACTGCAGCTGGAGGCTATTCATAAGGTAAGAACCTGGCCTCTCGTCTTCTCTCACCTCCACTGTTATTTCCCCCCCAACTCTGGGCCTTTGATGAAATGACAGCTGAAGACAGAATGCAGCTTCGGCAGCCTCGTCCTCCAGAGCATGGTAGACACACTTCATTCATTGTCTTCTCCTCATTCGTCCCTCTCCACCCCAGCATGGCCCTATCCTTTCAGATTGTGGCTGGTTTTCTGGTTCATTTAGTTAGGACTCACCCAAAGCACCAACTGTGGGCATCTCTCTTTTGTCTTTATTCACAGGTACGTTTCAGCCCAAACCTGGACTCCTACGGATGGCTGGTATCTGGGGGGCAGTCAGGGCTGGTTCGGATCCATTTTGTCCGTGGACTCACCTCCCCACTGGGCCACCGTATGCAGCTTGAAAGCCAAGCCCAGTTCAATGCTATGTTCTAACTATCCTGCCCCACTGAAGGGCTTGGCTTCCCTCCAACCAGCCATTGCCTTCTGCCCAGTTCCTAGTCTTGGTCCACACAGAACCCTTGGAATGAAGTCTACCAAGAACAAATGGCCCCCAGGCACAGAGCCATAGGAACTGGGGCTTTCCTGGACAGTTACGCTGCCCAGGCCTGGACCTTTAGGCCTGTTTCCCCAGGACTCCTTAGATCCCTTTCCTTCCATAGACTTCTCCTGTGATCACAGCCTCCAGTAGGCAGGGGGCTCTCCCTCCCTGAACTCTCAAGGCTCCTCAGCCTAAAACTATGGTTCACCAGAAACACTCAGGCCTGACCTAGGCTTGGGAGTCAGATTGCTCATATTGAGCATATTGTGAAGTAGGTAAAGCCAAGTAAAGGTACTGGGTGTTTTTGAGATCACATATGAGTGGGTGTTTGGAGAACTGGAAAGGGTATCTGCATGAAGGCACCCGTCTGACTATATTCCAGAATCCAGTGTTACTGCCTTCCCACATTTCCTCTTTTAGAGTAACCAACACACAGGCGTATAAGGGGTGATAGTAATTTATTGAACAGAAGCTGCTTGTAATATTTCTTTAACTGAGGAACACCACAGACACCCTACCAGTAGAACAGTGACTCAGATCTTACTTGCTCCTGCTTATGAAATATTCCTGGCCACTGGTCACCTGACCTTACTTGAACACTCCTGGACAGTCGTGTTTTAAAAGATCTTCCTTTATATCGTCAAAGGGTATACCTCTAAATTTTACCCGCTGGTGTTAGGAAATCTAGTCATTCTTCCCTGTGATTGCCCTTTTAAGTATTTAACGATAGCTATCATGTGTTTCCCAAGTATTTTCTTCTCTAGATTAAATATCTTCAGTTACTTCAACCATTCTTTTACACGTCATGATTTTTGATCCTTCATGGTAATTGTCACATTGTTTAGCTGTGTTATTTCAGCTCTGTATATAGGAGCGTTCAGAACCCAAGAACAGTACTTTATGTCTTGTTATAGCTCATCCTGTTGGTGCCCTCTTGTGGGATGCTGCAGACTCACAGTGCTGTCTCCTAAGCAAGAATGGACAGACTCCAGCAGTGAGGCATAGGCAGCCATGGTCTTGGGATCCATACAAGTATAGGCTGGGGTTGGGGTGGGGGGTACTTAGATGGCCGCTGGAAGCAGAGAAAAATAGGCAGCCAGATCCTACTGAAGGGAGTGAAGATTACTTTTAAGTCCTACCAGGAACAAAACACTCTTGCTCTACGACTGACTGGCTGAATATCTGGGAACAGTTTTCTGCTTCTCCAGAGGAGGGAACTGATCATATGTCAGGAAATCTCCTTTAAGAGGAGAATAATCAAGTAGTTCAATACCCTCCATGTACAGAAGAAGAAACAGCAGTAGAGGGACCACAGCCCATGTCCCTGCCAAGGAGCCAGGTGTTGCACCACCCTATTGTGGTGCTCCAGCCCAGGTTGTGCTGGTTTTGAGTTTTCTGAGCTGACTGATAGAGAAGTGCCTTCCATTGCAGAGAAGTTTTACTTGTTCTACACAGCAGCCCCTTGACACTGCACCATGAAATCCCACTCGGTGCCTGGCATCCCACACTGTTGAGACTGTAGGTTGGTGCCGGCAGCCCTGCTTTTGCTGCTCAGTCTCAGCCCTAGTCTCAGCCTCCGTGAGAAAATCAAGATGATGCTTTCAGCCTTTGGTCTTTCTCTCTACCATGTGTTTTTCTTCCCAGACCACCCTCATTTCCAAGCCTCCCTTCCAGTATCCTCACCTTATATTATCCATTGGTTCCTGCCCTTTTCTACCTTTGTGGTTTGTTCATACTATTCTCTCCTCTAGGAGTTCCCCTTTTCACCATCTCAAATTAAGTCCTTCATCCTTCAAGACCCCAGCTCAAATTCTGCCTTCACCAAGGAGCCTTCCCAGATTTCTCCAGTAAGAATTTTCCCTCCCATGTGTCTCAAGGGGGCAGGAGGGAAAAGTGATAAGTATTTATTAAGCACTTGATAGGAATATGTTACATAATCCTATGAGGTGGGTATTGTCCAATTTTATTTAAACTACAGAACTACTAAGTAGTGATGCCTTGGTTTGATCCCAGTCTGACTTCAGAGCAATCTCTTTTTACCTCAACTTTTCAACCTACCACATTCAGTGCCCTATTACATTTACTAGCGTAAATTCACTCCTCTAGCATGGTATTTTGCATATAGGAGTCTTTCAGTTAAATGTTTGTGAAAGTGAATTCTCTTGCTTCCTTATTCTGTTTCTCCAGTATCTGTGACAGGATTCTCCCTGCCTTAATTATATAGGAACTAGGTAAATTGGGGCTGAAGCTAGCTATGTAGAGAGCCTGAAAAGGGTAGGTAATTGCTGCCCGCCTGACAAATCCACCCCCAAGGATACTGTAGGAATTTCTACAACCCTAGAAAGGATATTGCACTATATTCACAGAATCTTAGAATGTTAGAAGAGGATTAAGAAATCATTCAGTCTACTCATTTTCAACTACTTTTGGTTTGGGCCCTTTGTTAAATGGCTCTTTCTAGAAGTATAAACAGCAGTTAAGACAGAAGGACCTGTGGTGATATCTCCCCACAAAGGGCCCAGTTTGAAAAACAGGTAGTCTAACCATTTTACAGACGAGGAACCTTAGGTTCATATCTAATGATGACCAAGGCTGCAGTCAGTTAAGGACCCAAACCCTTTTCTGAGGTTCTGTAATTCCATTGTTTTCCATGGAATAGTTATCTTAACTCAGCATTTCTAAAGGCCCTGTTGTGGGCAAAGCACTGGAATAGTTGCTACGAAGGACAAAGGTGAACAAGGCGGTCCATCCATTCAGGAGCTCACAATTACCAAGGCAAGTGAAGGGCCTAGAGACACAAATAATAAAAGCGCGCCCACACACATATGCAGTTTCCAAACTGAGTCTAGAAAGTCTTGAGACTGACAAGGACATCAGGACCTTGGCCAATTCTGGGGGGGTGTGGGCGGTAACGCTGTACCCAGGTTGAGAGAGGCCCTGGATCGGGGAGAGAAGGTGCAGGAAGCAGAAGGCACCCAGGCGGAGACGTGGCTGGCGGGCCCCAAACCAAGACCTGGGGCATTCCACGTGTAAAGGGGGTTGCTCATGCAGTGGGTGACCGAGCTGAGCCGCTCTCCAGGGGTATTACACGGGTATTAGTGGCTCAGCCGACACCCACTCCCTGCTGCAGACAAAAGGCTCTCGGCCACGTCGCGGCCTGCCGGGAGGAAGGGGCGGGGCTTGCGGCGGAAGTCCCGCGGCCGGCTCAGGTCACCCGCACAAAGCGCGGCGCGCGCTCGCAAGGCATGTGACCTTCCTAGCCCCGTGGAGTCACGGACGCTGTCCCGGTATGGAGTTAGACTCAGGAAGGATCCGGGCTGGTACCCACTAAGTCTGAATCTGGGGACCGACCGGGTTCACTTTCCGGGGCCCCAGGCTCTGGGCGGAAGCCAGAGCAAGCTTGTCCTGCCAAGGTTGCCCTTCTTCAGGGCTAGGGGTGGGGAGGCAGGTAGCTGCTCAGGCATTCCTCAGCCACAGTCTTCTCTTCCCTGATTGTCTAAGGCGACCGCTGTGACAGGATGCTGTCCAGGAAGCATCCTTCCTGAGGCTTGTCCCTTTAGGACAGATTGGAAGCGGGGGATGGGCACAAAAGGACAGTTAGGAATCTCCTTAATTGTGAGGAGGGGCAATGGGGGTGACCCCCTCTCCTTTTGGCTTGACAGGAAGCATGGCACTCTGGCGGGCATACCAGCGGGCACTGGCTGCTCACCCGTGGAAAGTACAGGTCCTGACAGCCGGTGAGTGTCCCTCTGGGGCCAGAGTGGGACCAGAACAGGTTGATTTGGGAGACAGAGGCCGGTCCCACTGCACCTCCCTCATTCCTTGCTTCTGTTCAGCCCCGTTTAAGGGCTGGCATCTCTCATTCCAAGCTGTCCCCCGTCTTTTGGAGGGTAGGTCGGCAAGGCCGTTCTGAAGGGAGGGGTACGCAGTTTGCTTAGTTGTGAAGTAGGATCTGGAAAGTCCTCGGAAAGCTGAGGCTAGACATTGCCCAAACTTAGAAAACTAACAAACCATAACAAACTCTCCTCTAACATTTTACAGTGTGCAAAGCATTCTCACACATTATCTCCCAGGGTCCCCCAGAGGTCTGTCAGCTAGGACTACTTGAGTGTGTGTTAGATCACACACTTAATAGGTGTTGAAATCAGGACTGTTACCTGCAGTTTGTTTTTCTTAGTTTTTTTTTTTTTTTAATTGTACTGCAGGTGAAGGCTTACAGAACAAATAGTTTCTCATGAAACAGTAGTACACATACTGTTTTATGACATTGGTTAACAACCCCACAACATGT